ACAGTTGTACTATCCAAAGAACACATTTCTTCACAGGGAGAATTATTACTGGGAACTTCTTGGAAGTAACTTCATTCTCATCTCACCGAGATTCTTGAGAGGGTTGACATGTGATATCGGAAACTCAGATGACGCCACTGCACTGTTCTCACCAAGCAAGTGGGATGCACATGCTTGACAAGTGGAAGATACACGCATGTGTATGCAATCACGATCGGAGGAAATCGACGATCCATTCGCAGCACTGTAGTCCGGGAAGTCTTCATTCACGTCCGGTTGTCATTTACTCGTATAAGACTGGAGAACAACGTCGTGGATTACCTCCTTGAGCGTTCATTTGCGGGACATTCGACAAGAGATCGTATTCGTCTTTCTGTTTGTCTTTTCCAAAACGGTGGACCTGTTTTACTATTGTCGCTATTGTTACATTCAGGGATATAGTGTTTTATGATAACGATCTTATCACATCCCCTGGCCTTGAGTATATCCAGTATGCCCCTCGTACAAGGCCTTTATCACAACAACCAGGGTAAAAGATTTCTCCACGTATGGATATGACAAACATCCAATGATGAACAAGTTAAAAAACAAAGTTTCCGTTGATTTCACTAATAGAATCCCTGTGACTACGGTCATTATAAAAGCTCAGCCACTTCCTATACTCATAATGTGGCACTGATATTCAAATTTATTTATTTCATAGTTTTGTTACTTCATTTTTTAAATTAATAAGAGAGGAAGTGAATACAATTTACAAACAAAAAATCTTATTTATATGCATTCAGATAAAATAATGGATTTATCTCTTAAGAACCATTAACGTTGCAAGATAAAAATAGATGAAACTATCAAAGAAGATTACAAGCTGATAATATATGTCAAGTAATCATATCAAAATTACAACTTTGAAACGATTTCAAGTGCAAAAGGTTATCATAGTACTCTACATAGGTGGATGATGAATGCTTCGAATAACGGTTAAATACTATGACGATTATTTATTGCAAAAAATGAGGGTTTTCGGAGTATACTCAACCCAACTCATGGATTGTTCACAATGCAAGTTTAGATAATTCTATTTCCGAAACATTAAGCGGGTTAAAACATGCTTTCACATGTTTCGGAAACATGTAGCGGGTGAAAGCGTAATTAAACCTCTACTGTTGTGAGAGTTCTTATACGTGCTCTAATCAAGTAGAATTGATCATATTTTTTGCTTGACATTTATATACAATGTCCACATGATTATAAGTAGTTTGTCGGAAAATATATTCTCAAAATCAGTTACTTCAACACTCTTTAACTGAATCTATACGAACCTTTGCAATCTTCTCCCTCAATCAAATTTTATGTTGCTCAATAAAGTTCACACGCTTTTATTTTCTTGTTCATTTAGTTAGACACTATGTTGACAGACTATATGACATCACCGAATGACTACACGGCTGCTAGCTTAAAAGTTGAAACGCTGATGAACGAAAGTGTAAGACTACGATTGCTATGAAATGGTGATAAATTAGGAATATAAAGTGGTCCAAATTGATAATAAACAATTGGTACAAAGTGACTTGGAATGGTGTGTATATATACTAGTACAAAATGATCCAAAATGATATTATATATATATATATATACACACAATTGAAACAAAGTGAAGATACAACAACTTATACAAAATTTCAAATTTGAAAAAGCCAATATAATCTCTATATTTAGCCGAAATATCAAAGAAGAAAAAATTATCGAAGTCTTAAAAAAACTAGAACCAAAATAAATGAAAGTGAAAAGCGGTGAGTGTTGAAAATGAGTAGAGAGTTTATTCTTTAGTTTATTATTTATAAAACTTCAATTTTGTATCATTACAATCGTAATTTGACTTACATTCACTAAAATAAATCTAGATATGTATCATTATTTTTATAACAAAAAATACACAGTAACATATCATTAGCCTTTTCAGAAGTTTCTTTGTTACTACATGAAGTTTGAAAGTACTCATTGGAACACTTGAAATTTTGAGTGATTTATGATAAATTTTAAAATGTTTAATATATTTCATTCAATTGTAATGTCAAAATTTCTCTTATTAAAAATTGAATTTCTTATTTCTTATCATTACATAATTTTTTCCTCTACTTGGCAGCATCTGGTTGTTAACATAATTAATTTATGATCATGATTGCTATCATGTGATTGACTCAAAGTGCATACTACTACCATATATGAAGTATTTATATAGGGACAAATAATGTAATTCTCAATTAGGTTTTGTGAAAATAGAAATTTTCTTTTTAGTAGATCAAATGTTATCATCACTCCTTCAATTTGAAAAATTTGTACTATATCATATGCTTCACAGAAATTTTCAAGGTATAAATATGTGTGGAGAAAGACAAAATCATCATACTAGGTAATTTCCTCAGCTTGGTCAATGTTATTGGGGAAAAAAATTCTAGTTCTAGCTTCTTTGGATCCTTGCGCTACCTTCCTTTACATAGTGCTATCTATCTACAACCTAGTCATGACTAAGATTTTCAGAGTAAAGCTTTTAAATTATTTCATAGTACATACATTCATACAACTAAAGATCGTGCATTTCATATCAACAAAGTTATGTTCACAAACAAAAACTATATTGTTAACTTTAAATCCTTAGATGTGTCATAAACTTTATTAATTTTTTTTATATAGTGCTAACTACCTGGTCCAATTAATCACAATCAAGAACTATATTCAACTGAAGCTTGAATTAACTTTTCAACATTACTAGTAAAAAAATCAATTAAAGATTGGATTTCTCTCGAGATTATATTTATTTTTCTTGAAATGAAATAGGTTTATAGATAAAGTTTGTTCATGTACCAAAAGGAACAAGAGATTTGCGCTCCAAGCTATAAACAATCCCTTATGTTGTGAAAACTTCTCCGAGGTTGTTGAGTGACAAATGTTGGAGATTTCTCAATAATTGCATACTTGCAAAACATTTACGCAAGGAATTTACATAGTCTTATGATCACCATACAGAAAAAAACTCAAAACTAATAATACAGAACACTCCTGTGCAGTACTAAGTTACGGAACCGCGTAGTGAGAGAGAGAACAGTCTTATGAGTAGCCAATCAAGCTGCTCAGCTAAGAATTGGGTAAGTCAAAGCCGACACATCTAGCAATTTCTTTTAGGGTGTTTCAAAAGCCGGACTATATTTTTTTGGTGGAATATTCAGCTACTGCACTTTGAACTTTAGCAGAACTTCGTGCACATGACAAAGTGGACGTGTTTTCTCTATTCACAATTTATTCCTTTCGACGAGTTTTTACACTATTTTATTCCAACAAAAGGCTAACCAGACCAGATCGGAGAATGATCTGATTTGATGTACGTTTTCGAATTCTCGAAAGACTGACCATTGTCAATCCAGAACATTGATATCGTTCTGCAGCTGCACCAGAAGCGTTTACTTTCAAGATATTCTTTCGATCTCAAGCCTTTGTGAGCCCCTGACCAAATTTGATATAAAAGCTTTATTCTCTAGGGACTATAAGAATCCTCTGCATATTCTCTACTTTACACTATCCTCATCTTAAAAGGACAATGAGGAAGGGAAGAGAATAAAATATCCACTGTATACCAGGAAATTTAATACTGATGTATATTATATTCATTTGTGTGAAAGTTCATCTAAAAAGTTAGAGAAGGTCAAGAGAAGACTGAAAAAGAAAACGGTCAAATACTGAAGGTGACTTTAAAATTTGAAACATAAACGCAAGAATATGCAGATCGCAATCAAAGCCATAAACTTTTTGGGTACACTGCAAGAGTAGATTTGTAAGCTTAAAATGAAACAAATCAGGTATCACACAGTAATATTGTAATTGCCATGCACAAAATGAGAATGTGAGATGACATGAGGAGGTCTTTTAAATCACACTCATACTAAACCACAATAATATTTAAAGACATCATGCACATCAACAACTGTCGCAACTGGACATTGAATCTTTGTTATCATGGTGTGGAAAAATGAACCTTTCCAGCGTTTAGCAAAGTAATGAAGTCTAATAGCAATCATGGTGTGATATGTATTTTCATATCTATCTAACTAAATGAATCTAACAGCTTGCAAATCCTGCATAACATTTTTGGGTAGAAAATCAACTATTGAAAATTTCAAAAGTAAGACTAATTTTATATAATAATATAATATAAGCAAGAAAACAATTTGATGATTTGGTTCATGATTATTTGATTATATGAATTAGAACGTCAGTTAGTGAACGGGCAGATGGAATGGATATCAAGTCATTCGGAAGAGTTTCTGATTTGCACCAATTAGTTAATAGATATGTTTAGAACAGATTGTGCTTAAAAGGAATTTTCTACCATTTAATAATAGATGTATCATACAAATGTATGAATTTAGATTGCGAAGTTTTCATCACGATTCTTCAATATGTTCAAGATTAGTGTATATCTATACATTTTCTTATTGCATATGCTATTTTAGATGCACTACATTTCAATTTGCTTTAGCCCCTATCAAAGACAGAAAAATAGCTCCGATGGATGGTACTTCTAGAGCCCCTATTATAATCCTGACCAATGATATACACGCAGTAGACATCAGGAATGCAATTCGAGACATTTTGATATATCGTGAGAAGATTTTTTTTCTCCTTTTTGATTGTTTCTCTTTTTGCTCGATACCTTAGTCGATGTAGTTGCATGACATGAATATTCCAAGCGTCTCCTTTTGGACTGCAAACTTTACTTGGACTACAGTATCTAAGTGTCAACTCATGTCAGCATAAAAGGCAATCTCGTGTGAAACTGTAAACCTGTGTTTGATCTGACCAGTTTCCTCTCGTCATTATACCTGCGTCCGTAAGGCAACAACTAAAATCGCTCTTTACTGTTTATTCTCGATATTCAGGAATGACACGTAACTCCACTGAAATGTCGAAGTACTTAAAACGATGTTACTGAAATCTAAGCCTTGGACGAACTTTTCTAAGTATCTGGTATCTATATTGAAGTCTTAGAAGCAACGTATTTCAGTATTTCTCCCTCAGCCCGATGACGACAGGCATCTGAGCTACATACGGCTTAGAGAGCCGAGGTGCATAGGGTTTTCTTAAGCGGCGTCTCAAGCGTGGTGTCCTGCGCTTTTCGTGAGTTCCGTGAGATTTTACATCTATCGGCTATACACTGTAAACTACGAAATTTGATTCAAAATTTGCTATTGTGGGTACAACGCTCTCCATGATGAAGAATATCGACAGTGTTTACTTTCGATAGAGGATCCTTCCAAATTCATGCTCTTTTAATGGACCTCCTTGCCCAGCCCTCTTGACTCGTCTCTGACGTTTGAATGAAGGGTAACAGGCTGTCAAGTGTACAGGTACCGTTCTTTGGGCCCAACAGGATGAATCCAGATTCATTGTTCCACGCAGAGATATTGTGTTATCGATCAATGTCGTTGAACTTGATAACCGGCCAGGTGTTATCAGCGTGTTCCGTACATGGCTTGAGTCAGATGCGATCGAGTGATGCTGCCACCATACCATTCAGTAACCTTGAAGAAAAAGGAATAAAAGGAAAGAAGACATTTCACAAACAACCCACAAACTTTAGAAACATCACCTCAACAGTAACGCAATGAACTCTCATCGAAAGACTATGGGAAGAAAATCTGAAAAGTCTCTTCGAAGTTGTGAATATGATACAAAAAATGAATGCATAATTTTGAAAGGATGCAATCTGAATGTTACTTAAAAACCGAACATTCAGATAACGAACATCTAATTTGGACATAAGAGGCGAGTAGAGGACTTTGGCTATTGACTTTGCTGGGGTGATGCACTAGAACTAGAAACACCATCTACGACAGGGGTGACAGGAGAGGGAGGCCAAGACAGTCTCCTCAATTTTGCGCCATCTATGCCAGTATCTTCTGAAGGAGAAGCCTCAGTTACCGTTCGCCACTCCTCTTCTCGTGGAGGCTGAAGTTGAGATGCAAGCCTCCGAGTTCGACTGATCAAGTCTTCTGAACTTGGTTCCTCCGAGATTACTGTCTCCCGAGTCCATTGAGGGGTTACACACTCTGGTTCGGGTCGGGGATCAGGTCGGGGAGAAGACCAGCCGACCTTCAGTGGAGCCAACGTACTACCGGCCCTCAGTTTACACATCTCTGTGACCGCCTCTCTCATCGCTGATAGAGCTTCGGAGTATCTAGTGCATGACGCCAGGGCTGCAGGTATTGGTCTCAACAACTCCTGCAACAATTTCTTGATCAGTCTAGGTATCCAAATCTTCATTACCGGTTACATAAAACTTTAGAGAGAAATATGACGGGTACGATTTCTCTAAAAAGAGTGCTGCACATATTTATGGAAGACTTAGGTTACTTTTCGGCATTCCACAAGCAACGACAAATTGCGAGCGTGTCCCGCATCGACAACCTTATATAAGTGTGCCATACGATAAACATAAAATCCAGTAGGAAGGCTGTGCAGTCCTCAGAGAAACTGTATGTGTGAAGCTCAAAACTTGATGGACCTATCCTGGAACTAATAAAGTGAACAAGAACAGACAAGAAATGATAATGCTGGGCAACACAACCATCACAAGTTAGGAAAGGCAGAAAGTATGTACCCCCCAAACAGCAGGTGGATCTTTGAAATTGCTACTCCATTGGAGATCTCCCATGGCAGCAGATAAAGCTCCATAGTCACCAGCTGCCTTAATCAACAGCTCTGAAAACTGTTTCTGATGTTCACAAAACGGGAATGTCATCAGAACAAAAAACAGCACGCTTCTCCAGTTCAGAAAACAATTTCGGAAAAACTTTCCTGATTACAGCGAAGCTATCGCGCAGTCTGACGGGTGCGAATGTACCTGATATTCTGTCTCAACGGGAATGCAATCAAGGGAGTATGGCTGCTGTAAGCGGGCGATAATTCGGTCCTGTACAATGATGGCAGAATGCATTACAACAACATATTAGTTACAAAGCTCCCAGCGGGGTAACATGCTCTAGACACACGATGAAGGCAGTATGCTCGTCTCCGAGGACGCACATTTAATCGCTTTATGTACTCAAGGACGCAAGATATATGCAGGAATGATGCTGATTCACTTGGGAACTGAATCTAATTTGGGGATAACAATGTCCTTAGGTCTGCAAATCTCAAATCAGTACATCACGATACCTTATTTTGGATCACATCTTTTAACGTTGCTGTCGTTTTCGCTAACGCTTGCATTTTCTTCTCGATCTCACCCACATGGGTCAAATGTGCCACTCGCTCATCCTCCTGCCACCATCGATGAAGTACCCGTTCATGTATTGAACATCTACAAACATAAAAGTGGTTTAAGGTGAAATTGTACTACCTATCGGTTGCATGTCTGCTTGCAAGTGGGAGTGCTCTAACAATGCAACCTGTTTGTGGGGTGATGGTTAATGTCATAAGTCGTATTGCAAGACCAGCTTTTTCAGGACACTTTCGATATCTTCCGGATCAAAACGTTCAGGGAACGGGTTGTAACTTTGCTACTTTTAATCAAGATGGTATTCACCTGCCGGCCTTGCAATTCGACTTGCAGATTGACTAAGTTCCGCTGGATTGTAGTCAGCTCTCGCAACACTCTGACCAGTGCATCTGCGCTGCCTGGTCCCATTGCAATCGGCGAGCCATTTTGAGCACCATCGTCCTGCACTGGCTGTCACCTTCATAGTGATATTAGATCAGCACTTCCCGACCTCTAGTCCATGAAAAAAACCCCACTCATCACAGAAAGGCATGGAGAGCTTAAGATTCAAGCTGTGCACCGAAACCCAAAATAGGCTGTAGACATCCACTGATGAGGCAACTATACATCAGTAGATCCGATTAAGCTCTTGTGTTAAAGCGTCCCCTATATCCGAATCTCCGCTACGTATACCAACATCACTGACATAGATTGAGAAGTACGCGCCAATTCCGCTAAAAATTCCACCCAACATCCGAAAGCGAAAACAGGACGCACCGGCGTGCACAGGCCGAGATCGGCAGCCAGACTGAGGGCATCCGACATACCCCCGAGGCGTCGAGCAGGATTCCTTTTGCTGCCCCATGATGCAGCATCCGCCATCGCCATTCAACCCGATCGGTCAAAACAGCGAGATCAACTTCCCGTCACGATCGCTATGCTTCACGCCTTCGCCTTTCGCTTCACCGAGCTTTTCTTCCTTCCACAGCCCTTACACAGAAGCAACCTCACGACGAAATGGGCCAAATTTGCCGAACTCAGTTTCCTGGTCCCTAGGGTTGCGCGTGCGCCCGCACGTTACTCCCTGTTCGGACGACGAAATCATCACCGCCCTCTCTTTCCCTCTACTTCCGAAGATTCAAATTGATTCCAATCTTTCCACATGGGACGCCACGTGTTCCAGCAGGGAGATGCGCTGCGTTTGGCATGACAGAGCGCAGTTTGTACCGTCGCATTTCCCGGTGCTCGATAAACTTCTTAGTTCTTTTTCCCAGCAAACTCGAGAGCATGTAAAGACCGTGAACAGGTTGGCTCCTTTTGGCAGTTGGAATTTCCCAAGTATTTCTTCACTTGATAAACAATAGATGCTGCGTGGATCAAGCTAACAGCTCTTGGCCATGTTTCTTTGTACAGAAATTCTCCTTGTTTTATTTCACACTCATGTATTATCCTTGTATGATTACTACCTGGGGTGCATCTACAATGCAGCCACAGGTCTGAAGTCTAACGACAGATTTGAAAATGAGCAAAAAATGGAATGTGGGTAATGAGGATAAAGAGATTAAGAGAGATAAAAAAATGTTGAAATATTTCCAGAAGCAGAGATGTGGAATTATGCGATCCTCTGACTAGGTATGCAAGTGAAATGAAACAGGTGCAAGTATTAGTTTTTGAGGTGAGAGTAAGGTGGAATATCTCCTTGATTTCTTAATTTGCAGTTTCTCGGAAGAAAGTTTAACCGGTTTAGCCTTTGTGGTAGAATAAGATAGTAGAAAATGATCAAAGAAAATACAAAAATGTTTTTTCCCTGAAATAATGTTTTTACAGCAGTAGATATGATAACCAAGGTAATCATATTGGTTTGAAATCAAGTTAATCATATTTGATATTGATGAAGAAATCCATAAAACCATAGTTATTGGAAGTGATAATTGAGATCCAAATTTTGAATAAAAATAGCCACAAAGTTTTGAAAAAATTTGTGGTCATGTTTTCATATGTGGGAGCATGAAATTGAAATCGTTGACAAAAATGTACAAACAATATAATCACATGATTGCTAGATTGTAAAATATGTAACTATTACAATTAACTATCATGTTTTTGTGTTTTGTGAAAGATTAACATGTCACATTCATTGAACAAATACAAACATCATAATAATTGTTTTTCATAAATTTTTTTAAAATACCCCTAATTTTAAATGTATATTTAAACAGATCAAAATTTTTAATATACGTGCATCAGTTTTATAGAAAATTACATAATTAAATGACAAATTTCTTCATAATTACATTTGAAAATGTACGATTATGAATTATTATTCATGCTTATGCTGCTTTAAAATAAAATTATTTCTGTTTATCAATAAATATTATATTATTTTAGTATACATATGATATAATTATTATTTCTATTTTATCTAAAAATTATGAATGATAAAAATGAAAATAATCCATTTCATGTTTATTGATGATTATTGTAGTTAATTTTTGATACAAAGTTGATAAAAAATATAGAAAAAAATTCAAAATTTAATTTTTTTGGTGATAAACCGTTAACATCAATTTGATATTGAAAAATTGATAAAAAAAATTTAACTTAAATTTTAAATATTCAACGATTTAATCAAGTACTAAACAACTCAATACATTTTCAGATGATCAAGTTGAAGTAATTTTGGCCAAATCATTTGAAGTTTATTTGCTTGGTAATTGCTATCTTATCACAATATTTTGCCATAAATTTGAATCATGTTATATTAAGGGTGTTGATGATGATTGTTTTAATATTATCTCATAATATACTTGTTACAATTGTCTATACAATTAACATTGTATGATGTGGTGATAAGTATATATATTTCAGTGATGAAGATGTTTTGTAAACTTGTGAGACATAAAATGTTGGATTGAAATTGATGAGAGTGAAATTGTTATAGATTTGAGCAATAATCATGATGCACACTCGATGAACTGATTTGATTCAAGATTTGTACGATTGACTTTAAGTATTTTGCTTTAAAAAGTAATCGAATAATTATCTAAAATAGTCGGCAAAGTGTCACTTGCAGTTTCGCTGTTTCGAATGTTTTGAATTGGAAATAATAACATTATGTAGGTAAATTCTACGTGACCTTTGATGGTATCGTAAAGTAGGCCACACAAAGATAGAGTCCTGACCTAGTCTATCTCGTGATATTCGAACTCCTGTAAATACTTGCCTACGAAGCAAATGATAAAAATGCGGCAGAGAATGTATCACGTGAAGTAATTGCAAGTGTGTTGCCCAAAGCATCCCCTTGAGATCACGCTTGAGGTCAACGTGATATTTCTGACGAGTTGTTAGCTTGTGAGAGGCATGCAGTCACTCACGCCGGGTTGTCTTCAAGACTGTTCCATTCCCATGCGCTGGTTCTTGATTTGGTCTTCCTCCCTGCCTCTTGGTGTGTTCTGTCAGATGTACGTGCCCTGTCAGAAGACAATTTCCAGCTCGGTTGGCGTTCTGTGTTCTTGAGAGATCCCGCAAGGGACCAGGACCTCTCGAACGGCAGGTCGTGCGATGTTGTAGCAAATGAATCTCAACCAGCGAAAAGAATTTCCACCCTTTAAAATGTGTTCACAATCGCAATTCCACTCAATAAGAAATCCGTCATCAAGAATGAAGCACACGTCACTGCTGTTTAGAATATGCATCTGAGAATCTGATTGACTTTGTTGTGGTTTATGATGTAAAGTACTACTACCCTGGACGCTGTAGTCTGGCCCACTCAATATGTTCTCATCGCCGAAACAGTGCTCAGAAACAGATGTTCAACTTGACTTCTTGTTCAAACTCCTCGGCATCGTCATGATGTGCAAGAACTCTTCTAGCAGACAAGTTGTTGACAACGGAAACTTTCTGATCAGATTTTTTTTTTCGTATTCTTCAGTTTCAAAATCGTTCAATATTACCGTCGAATTCTAGCGACGCTGTAAGGTACCGACCAAGCATTTAAATTATTATGATCAGGCTCTCATGGCTGAGTAACTTACGCTGAGAACGGACTATACTATGAGACCGTTTCCTTAAACTTCAAGAATGTTTCCGTCTCGCTTGTCAACAGCGACTGGTTTTAAAAATACATATACAATCCCAATCTGATCTGAACGTCCTCGAGATCGGTACATAACTCGAGTTTTCGAGGTGAATCAGATCAGGGCAAGATCTAGATGAGATGAGAAAATTCATCTCATCCAGAGCAAGTACTGAACGCAAATGGGTATAATTGTAGTCGAGATTCTAAGCTCGGCTGTCGCTCGGTGCGTTCAAGGCTAGCAGGAAAAGTTGTTGACCCATTTCCGCTCAGCTACCGAAACCTACATGAGATGCAGTGGCCTGGGCTCATGAAGTGGGACATCTCCAAGAAAGTTGAGAGATGATGCGTGAACAACAGGATACGAAGTACACGACACAGGCGTTCAATCTTAATCGGGACGAACAATTTCCAGTCTACCAACATGAGTATCGTACTATTGTCGGCTCTCTTCCCTATAGCTGTGATGGTCGAGCTCGGATCGTTGGCAGCGCTGATTGTATTGTGCCTCGTAGAGTATAAAGTCATTCTAGTTCATAGAAGGGAAGCACGAGCTGACAGTCGAATGTCAGAAATTAGGATAGACTTAATAATTCCCGAGCAGCATGACAGGTCTATGCCTTCAACGGAAATCCAGCCTCCTCCGGCAACCGCATCTGCTCAGGAAGAAGCGTCAAGCGTCAGATCAGAAAAAAAAGATCCGTCCAAGTTGTCGTGAATGCCTGACCGCTGTACGAGATTCACGACATTCTTGAAAGCTGTAGAGGCCTGCCTCTGCTGAGAACATGTAAGTGGGAGCCAGCGTTGAATTCAGGAGAAAGACAGCAAAAAACTGAACTTGTCACTGAAGTTTTTTATCAGTATATGTACTTTGAAGTCACCTGATCACAACATATTCTACGAAATTGATTCAGAGTTTTCTCATGAAAGTTACCTTGATTGCTCCAGATCGAGTTTCTTCAAACCTCCGAAGTTATGTCATCACGTGTTGTACATCAAAAATTGTTCGTCTTGATCTCCTGACTGCATTCCTGCAGAATGAAGTCCTTGAATGTGAGTCATCGTGTGTTATTCAATTAGGAAGTCAGTTACTCCACTGAGAATTTTATGTACACAATTATTCCCGAACCTACCGGATTCCAAGAACTTCATTCTTATAGATACGCAAAAGAAAATCAACACTGCGGCCAAGTCACAACGCCGTGAAAGTTTGTGTAACATGACGTCTCTGTCTTTTGGAATTCATCTCCAGCTCTAGTGCAAGTGAATGTGATATTCAAGGGATGTCAACGAGGGGTTTGATGATCACACAGATGCCGATTTCGTCGTTGCTTCAAGCAGGAAGTCCGATCGTTGAAAGAATTGACTGTGAAACCAAACGTTTCTTCTTGAGATACAATGAATCAAGTGGTCCCGACCATTTCTTACCCTAGAGTTGTACCGAAGCATGAGCTCGTAGATCTGCTGTCAAGGTCTTCTCGTTTTCTAGCTTTTTGCTGAAGTACCTAATACAATACACAACAGCTATCATGATGACGATTAGCGCTGCCATGACCAAAGCGTTGAGAACACGGAACGTGTCCATGTTACTCTTCTACTTCCCTCTTACAAAATCGTCACTTCTGTTCAGAAAGCATTGCAGTTGCTCAGCTAAGGCAAAAGCTCTCAGTTAAGGCTCAGGACTGAATGTGTATAGCCATGACGGCGCATTTGCACAAGCATCTTATGGTGTGACGTGCTGCAGAGACCGAGTTCAGAGACAACATGAACTGTTTTTTCAGTGACTTCATGATTAGGCTTTTCCAAATAATGTGAACTGTATAAAAGGTTCAGGGTACACTCTTCAATGCATATTACATGAACATTATGGAACTGAAAGGTTCCTGACACACCTAGACTCTCCTTTTGACTTCTTGCTGTCACTTCTGTATCGACAGGCTCCAATCCTACAGCTTATGTATAACTAGATAGATGTTACATAAATATTGAAGTATATCATAGTGCTTCAGGAAGACTTATTGATGTACTGAAAATACCAGAGTAGCGTTACTGTTATTGGAAATATACAAGACATCCAATCGTTTCATTGTTAAGTTTGGATTGTCCCGCTGCTGTCCTTGACCGTTGATTAGACAACCTGAAGCTGCAACTGTTTAGCTGCGCTACACGAATGAGAGTATGTTTTCCATGATCTGCAGTATGTTCAAGGAGAAGATCTGTTGCAAAGCCTTCTGTCTTCGACTCTAAGGACTTGGTACGTGCATTTGAGGTACAGAAAAAATATTGATAATTTCGAATCTTGATGTTCGTTTCCACCACACCATAATCAAGATTTCCTTGGTCATGGGACCAAGGAAATCTTTCTATCCTCGTCTTCCATCCACGTGTTGTCAGTTAGTAGAAACTCAACTGTCAGAGATATGTTATTTCAGCCCGTACCAGAATCCTTGCCATACCGTCAACCTCTGCATGCTAGTTCATACCTGGTGGAGATCATCCAGGCTGGACAACACGAAACTAAGTGTGTAGCGAATTGAGACCAGAAAAGAATGAACAGTTGCTCATGGTTCATATTATAAATCCATATATCCATATGCCCCCGAGTTTAGAGAGATCTTCAGGAGCTTTATCACAGTCCTACCTTAAAGCTGAAAGTACTGACCTCCATCGTTAGCCGAGAAGCTATGGAAGCTGTACGCTGATCATCAACGTTTAGCTTCCATCGCAGAAACTGGAGACAACGGCCTGAACTGGCTCGTCAGACCGTTGAGCAGCAGAGGTACGAGACAACAGGGCGGAGTGTTCATAAAATGTGGTCTCAATAGATCTCTCAAGGCTGTTGACGGATATTCGTCCTTTTGACCAAATTCTGCTTGGCAAGAGTCGAGACCCAAGATCCCGAATCAGCTTGCTGTGGACGAATAGAGCAAAGGATCCACGGCATGGATGTACAAGATTTTAGAAACTGAACTTACTTACTGGAGAAAAGATTGCGTTTCATCGAATTACATGTGGGCTGGTGCCCTCTTTACAGCCGTGGATCATGTTCTCTAAACAATGTTAGCATTAAACTGAAGAGATTGATATCCATACCACAGTTTGTCCATATTTGTAGATCACTCTAAATTTTAACCTCAACAATATTAGTTATTTAGATATCCATAACACTTCTGTATATTTGCTTTACTTGCTGTCCACGAACGTGACAATCGGTTACTCTTAAAATTAGTAACAATTGGTGTTGAAACTAGTCAACAACTCTCAGATGTAAAACGTCTGAAGCATTTAGAGAACCTTCTTTTAAAGAGTAAACATTCTCTATCCCTCTTTTTCTAGTTATGTTTAAATAAAGGACAAGAAAAGAAAGAACAAATATATGCCTCAGTACAGCGCAATCGTCTCGATTCTCTCGAATTCTTTTCAATTGTGGATTGTATTTCCAACATCTGTACCATGTCAATAACAGACTACCAATATAAATTAAGTAGTACCATGAATATGCACATACAAGTTTGGATAGATGGTGCTCCTTCCATATTCTAAATGGACCGTGTATCATTTGAGATTTCCATGCCCGAGATATTTGATGTAGGGACTTGAAATACACTTGGCAAGGACTTCAGAAGAGATAATTCTTGTTTACAGCGAATCGCCTCTAGAAGATAGTAGTCTTTAGAGATCGACATGTAGTATTGAAGAATATCAAGATTGTAGGTATCCAAGAATCAAATAAGTTCCTGCTGGCACGATTTGCATGGAACAATCTGGTCGACTGCAAGTCTCCTGGTGCTCTAAGTTGTGATCTTTGTCTCTTGGGATTTCCGAAGAAAATTGAAGTCGATGATTCTTCTTCGAATAATTGCGAGTTCTTTGTTGTCTTTCACAATCTTTGTTTCTAGGAATTTACATCGTCTCTGCATGGTGTACCGAAACGGATTTCGACGTCGAATCGCCAACTTAATAACTCAATAATGTTGACCCAAGTTTGCACTCTCAGTTCATTCATGTAAGAACATGAAAGTACGGTTAAAATCCTGCGTTTTTATCATAACGCAGTATTCATAAAGTCGCCAATCTAGGCCAGGCATGTAATTTATTTCATTCGGCCGTAACAATCAGAAGATGCCTTTCTTCCTCTCATTAACTGGTCCGTGGACCTTGATTCTGTTGATTATTTCTACATTCACGTCTAGCGTCAGAAGTCTCAGATCGTGTCTTCTCATCTTCCCAATCCAACATTTTCTCTTCTGTCACGGCAGCTATTGCAGCTATTGCATCTATGTATACATTGTATAGTTCAGTCATGAACGTATGTTGAGAGTTTACTGAAGATGCTTATGACTGTGTTCGAAATCAAGGTTCGAATGAGAGTCTGCCGTAAAGTGCTATTCGAGTTCTCCTTGGCCGTCGCATGTGACTGTTGAAATCCGAAATGCATGCACATGTGAACGTTGTTGCAGCTCATTTGATTTGATCGTACCTGACATCTTGTAAACCATAACAAAGGTATTGGACATGAAATCCGAGCAGGTTTCTGCATCGGCTGTATAAAAGCAAGCCTGTCATGGTGTTGTAGTAAATCTACGAATCAGTGAATGAACTAGCAATCTTGGTTTGCATCGAGCTCGTGATCTCATTCCAAAGACCTTGCGTCCCTTCGTAAGCTTCTCTTTTGGCAGTTCTTTGAGTGCACAGTTGGGAGCCATCCTCTTCTTATCTACCTGTAATGCTGCCGGGCTCCTTCTGGCCTTGAGTTGAGATACTCATTGATTCACTCTTCGATCGAGGCTCCGTTTTGCTTGTCCTTATTATGTCGCTATCACCAAGATGGTCACAAAGTTACAGAGCTAGACGTAGCACATTCACGTCCACAGCGTGTGAGAGGCAAAGACCTCTGAAGGTCCCTGAACCACCATCACCTCCTGCAGCGAGCCTTGGAGCTGTTGTCTAATCCTCTGAGGATTCGCTTTTTCAAACTCTCAAGCAGATTCACAAACTGGCTATCTGAGGACAGCCGTATGTAATCCGCTTTAGTGTGCTTGAGGTATTTGTGCTCTCATCATGCCTTCTTTACCATACCAACCATCTGAGATCACAAAGATTGCTCCTCATCTTCGTCACTGCCGTCCTGATTTTGGATAGAATAAAATCGTAAACAAGTCGAACATGTCACCGACTAACCGTAACAGACAATTTTTTTGAGTCTTTGGGTGTCCACTGAAGTCTCAAGGATGTCGAATGTATCTGCTTTAGTATCATGCTTATAACAATCGAATTCTTCGCAAAAGCTTAACATATGCTTGAATTTTCCACAATTGCATAAATCCCCGGGGTAGTGTAGGAAACTACAAACTTCTCCTTTTTCTCAAAGTCTGCAGATCTCGCAAATGCTGTTGAATTTGTGTCTCCTTTTCTTTACTTCAAGTAGGAAAGCCAGCGAAAGCTCAAGGAACGGTTCGTGTCCTTTGTCGAAACCGCATTCTGACTTGGAAAGTAGTGAATTTCGGAGTTTTCTGGTGACCAGCCTCACCTTGCTCAGCATTGAACGATTGTGGTCTTCGTTTAGCCACATTTTAGATAAGGAAATTTGTGGCTCTGGGCTTCCAAGCCTATTCATATAGCCCTATTCAACTTTTTTCAGATTTCTTTCTTGAAAGAAGAATTAAAGCTACTTGCACTCGACTACTGCAGTTTCCAAGTCCGATAGTTTTAATAACTGCTTGAATAGGATTTCGATTGCATTTGTGCGGGTGTAGATATGGATATGTCCCGAAATTAAACCAAACATTCAGTGAGATCTGGGACACCGGAAGCTCGAGAGAAAGTAAAAGGGAATTTTGAAAAAGCTCTTCGGAATCTTCTGAAGGTGATACATTGAAACGAACGACTGATACGTGCGTCTAAATCGATGCTTTCCAAGCTGGAGTATAGATTCTCTCATTACAGCAGCTACCATAATTTTTAAGTTTTGGATCTGCATCAGTGAGTGAAAACAGTGATCCGTGTCGTAGACCTCATCAGATAATGGATAATGAGTTCAAAGCAGTAGCCAGCACTTTAGTGCTAATGTTCACATAATCTGATGAGAACTCTTAGATAGTATTTTCTGATTCAACTTTCATAACTCGCCTTCATTCATAACGGTATTTCTTCAAGTGGATGATATGAAGAGAGTGATGTCTCTGGATAATTTTCTACGAAGAATTCTGATGAAAACTGACATTCAGCCGGGGAATTGCTACAAAGAACAAAATTGATAATTGAAAACTTGAAGTCCCCAAAGGGAAAAGTAAAGTCTCGAGCCTTCTCTCTTCCTCCTCCGGGGTTTTCTGATTATGAGTGCTTTTCAAGAACTTCCACTCAACAGAAGGAAGATGAGGCTGGACTAAGTCCCTGTTCTCCTTGAGATAATTGGCTATGCACTAACCTTTGACTCCCACGCTCAACGAACTTGGTTGTAGTGTAACTAGTAGAAGACGTTCTTGTATAATCTGAAGGATCTTACAGAATTTCAGACGATCAGTTTTTTACTGTAATATCAGAAATTCGAACTTAATATCTCTTCAAAGTGTGGTCATCTTGAACTCTCACCCATGGTCACTACAGAATTTTCATTGAGTTCTTTCCATCATTCCCCTACCGGAAAAGGGAAATAATTTCATGCACAGTTTTAATGCATGTGTGTTTATTGCAACATGCGCACTAAAACAAAGGACTGGGATTTCGAGGAAAACACTTGACAATAATTCTTCTACTTTAGTTTATCTAATTCTCAAGTTCTCCGAATTTTTTTAAAATTAAAAAATTAAAAAACTAAAAACAAAACAATATTGTGTTTTGTTTTTAAACTATTTGAACTGTAGACATTCTCTGGTAGTGTGCGTAGAAGGTGAATATTAAACTCGAACTAGAATTTGTCTGTAAAAGCCTTGAGGTGTGTGTTGTTGAAGCAGTCACCGTCGCTTTTGCATTGGGTTCCGCAATATCATTGTCACGAGTCAATCAGAAGGAGATACCAAAAAAATGAAAATTCTGAATTTTGAGCAGTAGACTGGAACCAAATTCTCCGGCAAATCCAAGACACAAGCATTTAATACCGCTTGTTCCAAGATCTTTAAGGGAACATACGAACTAAGTAAGTCTGGAGACCTTTTACACGTCAGCCTTTCCTTTGACATGTCCACGGATCTGAGGTCACAAACATGCAACTAAATTCCTCAACGAGATTGTTGGCAGGTTCTTCAAGCAAACTTATTCCAGTCTAGACTTTTCCCTGTCATGCAGTCGTATTAAGTTTCAGCTGCTTTCAGTCTATAATATTTATCAAGTTCCTCTGCCAAATTTCTTAGTTCAAGGGTCTTTGCGGGTGATACCCAAAACAGACTAAATGTAGAGAGAGTATCTGAGGAAGATCTGCTCACAGAAGTATTGGAAACAAATTCTATTTGAGGAAATGAGGCTGTATGTGTTGAGAAATAATGCAGTAATTGTTGGACTTAGCTCCAATTCACAACCTTTGTTAGACCATCGTTTGGGAAGCCACACTAGGTTTCAGTTCCACATAAAAGTGGGGTCTCTACTAGATACTATAGAGAGTTGTCAGCCATGACAATTTGCTACATCCACCGTAACATTGCAAGGAATGAAATGTGCATCTTGTGAAACATGTAGAGAGCTAAGAACATTATATACTTACCTCTAGCTATGTTGGAAAAACAACCACAAAGACTGAACTACTATCAGGCTTTGCAAGTCACGGACTGGTTTGGAATACCATTTTCTCTTTAGTAACTCAAAGGCTTGTGTCGGCTGTCTGTCCTTGAAAAAGAGAGGTTGACGGAAATTGTAATTTGACTTGATGATAATGTATATCTATCAACCTCTAGCTAGACCACGAAAACTCATCACGTCCTAGAGACATTGTCTTCTGGCAAAGTTTTCATGGGTTATACCTTGGATCATCTGTACAACTCCATCATGGATTACGAATCAAGGATACAAATTGCTACTTTGACCAACAGAAACTTCCTTTAAATTTGCCAGTAGTTTCTGTTCACTAAGTTACTGTGAAACCTGGAGTTAATGCTACATCTGAGGACGTAAAGAACAGCTTGTGCAGAGTTAGTCCGCACCGCATAAGTAACCCAGCGGAGCTCTTAAATCCGTTTTTTACACATAATGATTTATCTCTACCTGATGACACTAGCTCTAAGCCTATTCTCCTGAAACCACTTTATTCTACCACTTTATCAAACATGTTGTCAGGACGTGGAGCGTCTTACGAGGACGTGTCTCATTTCTTTGTATATGCACCTTGGCTTAGCGTGAGAGCTGGTGGTTACTATATACCCTGTTATTTCAAGATCATAGGAGACTTCTCATCTTTGCGCGTATTGCTTTCGAGTTTATTCCTCGTTCTAGTGAGAGCTGGTGGTTACTATATACCCTGTTATTTCAAGATCATAGGAGACTTCTCATCTTTGCGCGTATTACTTTCGAGTTTATTCCTCGTTCTAGTTCTCTCATGAGGTGGCAGTTGTCATCAGCCCTCTCGGTGCAACATTATCGAGAGACAACATTTATATTTTTTAGTTTGTCGTTCAGTTTTTCAATATCACCTTGGGACCAGGATCTGTATCTCGAAATTTCACTCTATAAATCTGAGGAAATTCCACTGAAGGGGGCCCTCGTTGAGGGCCAATGCTGGTGGTATCTTGCATAGAAAGAATGTGATGGTTGCAAGTTGAACGAGAAAACAACTGGCAATAGACCTTTTATCGTAATTACAGTCAGCCGCTTATTCAGATTGGCTTATAACCTTCAACCCAAACTGTTAGTCGAGCACTTCTTTGCATATGAAGATGTTGCATTTGGAGTCTGATTGAACTCGGTCTTCAACTCAGCCTGCCATCCTGAGGCTGTGTTACTTGACAGACGAAGAATCAGTAAGATCTGATGATGACATGAAATAGAGTGTACTGCAGTGCAATACATATGCCACTGGTATGCAAAATCCTCACTTTCTTCACATGATTCGCGGAAAAGGAGTAGAGGGGCCCTCGTCTTCCCCGAGTAAGAACCTTGTCTGCAATAATAGACAGTAGATGAGGATTCTTTGATTAAAGTACCGGTAGCAATCGTAAGTCTTCGTTTGTTCCATTAAATTCCCCGTGTCGTCCCTCGGGTTCTTTACAAAGTGTATTCGGAGTTAACTCTCGGAGCGAGCGTAAATCCATTTGTCGTCATCCGAAAGTCAAAAGACTGGCGTTATCCTGTTTCCAGGTTTCTTGATCTTCGAGTTCGGATGAAGATTTCCAGGTGATATTTCATTCTCCATAGATTGGATGTATGAGAAGTTTTCTTGAAAACGCGTCTCCATGACTACCAGAAACGATGCATGACTGATTGTGAGTTGACTTCTGGAAATGCTCAGGATACTCGTTCGACCTTTCTAAGCGTTGAACTTGCGTTAACCAAACGAGTTAATAGTTCGACTTTCCAATAAATCAGAGGGTAAACCCAGTGAAGGCATCAAATTGTGACTGCCAGCCAGCACGCTACAAGGTAATCTGGACGGGAGTGCCTTGTGCAACGCAGGGCCATGCACTTAGCTCACAGTCTCAAATCTAGCATCATGTTTTTTCCAGAGATGGGGAAGAATCCCACGAAAGAAATCCTAATCAGTAATGTCCAATTACTCTCTAAACGGAGGCAGGATGAGATGCATACACGAAACTATCACAATTGAAAAAACATGAGTTAGTCGTTTGTAGTTGTGTGCATGGCTTGATCGAGGTCATATCGGTGAACATTATGAAGTAAACGCAATCCATTGTTGCACAGGGTTATTTCAGGAGTCTTTACCAAGAAGAGTGAACAGAAGCAGAACAGAGGTTCGAGGGCACCGGAATGAACATACAGAGTATCAGCTTACTTAGGTGCTACAGGAAATAATTGTCATCTTCGATGGGGCTGGCGAGACATGCACAACCATCAATGCATTAAAGCCACCATTTGTTTGGCATCTGGAAAGTGGACAAGCTTATCTGATTTTGACGAAGCGGTCAGAGGGCTACAGCGGCTTGGTGGAAAGTGACGAAATTTCTTGACGAACAGAAGGATCTTCAGAATGGAGGAATAGGTTACGACCGTAGGACATAAATTTTGATTCTGTCCATCGGTTTACTGTGAGCAACATTGGTTGAAGACCAGGTTTCGGCTTCAAGCTTAACAAGGAAGGAAGAGCGATGACAATTGCAGAGTGAGTGATGATTGACTGATGATACGACGAATGCGAGTGTTGAGCAGATACCTTCAACATCTGAACACTTGCCCCACCTCTGACACGGAAGAGCGTTGACAATCTGCAGTTGATCGATAAGCTTTGCCTAATTCGTTGGCTAAATTTGGACTATAAATTTCAAGGAGCTAGGGCGTTGGAATTTTTTTCAACCCCGATCAAAGTCCAAGCACCGTATCATCTAGATTCTAGACCTGTGGTCTAAAGTAGAGGACGTTTTGACCTATTACACAGTATTCATGTCATAAAATCAACATTCGCCAGGTGTCGAGCGCTCTGCTTCCTCGATGATCATCCTTCCTTCCCCCCAACTGCAGGAAGGTAAGTTTCCTCCAGTGCAGTGCCCTGTCGTCAAAGGCTGGAGGTGGCCCGGACCTTGCATCTGCCCTTTCCGGTGCAGAAGTACCGAAGACAGTGAACCTCCCATTGCTTACACATCAAATCGTGTGCTATGGGATTTCAGAGTGTAGTTATTCTCCATTCACCATCATGACTGCGTAGAGAGAGACCTTGTAACATTGGCCTAATTGCTGGTCGGCACCACAGTCACGAGCTCAGGCCGTTCAGTTCTTACCTCATGGGTGGAACGGAGTGGATGTCGTAAGAAAGCCTCAGAGGTTTGGCCATAGATGCAGCTACATAGCGCTCGATCCAGCACAAGTGGATCAAAAAGCATCCACATTAGTTCATGGTCAATGGGATCCACTAAGTAGCTATAATTGGAAGAGAGGCACGCACGACTGGATGTTTATAGAATAAACTCTGACAATTAGGAAAGCCAATTTGACAACGAGAGAAACGTGAAGATGAATAACTAGAGTAGTCACGAAACGTAACTTTGTGTTGGAATAGTATAAAATTTATGTAATTATATACTATAAAAATGTAAACGTAAAATTGTGTGTGTGCAAATTTTCACGTCTATTTTCCTGCTCTGGCATTTCGTACATGGTTCGCCTTTGACCTTTACGATCTGATGATTATGAAACTTTGCAGTACGCAGATGTTTCCACAAATCACTCACATCGTTCAGTGGATTTATTGGTTGTTACCGTAGAAGCATATTGTCACTTTATAGTACCACGGAACAAAACGACAAACAAACATCTGACACTCGTGGATAAAAGGAGTTGGGGACAAAGTTGGTCTGAACCACGAATGGTCGTAATCTTTGCTCTCAAGAAAGTTATGATGAGGGCATAGGCCCCAGGACACATGTCTTTTCACTTTCCTTACCAAAGTCCATCTGACGTGGCATATTGAGTCATGGTCCCTATCGGCCATAATAATCTCGTGCGTGCTTGAAATGTCTCTCGTACGTCCGGGCCCTCTCTAAAATGTGTCGTGCAGAGATATGCCTAGACTGGCCCGTTCCTTCCAGAATATTGCTGCATGAGCTCCACCATTTCTGTCATTACACCGCCCAGATAATATTTTCACTTTGTCATAATTTCGCACGGAATTTCGTGGGAATCCCTATCATCTCATGGAGATGCTGTACGTTTTTAGTTCTTCGTCATTAAGAAGTTGTTGCCAATTTACACATGAGCTGTAAGCGAACCGGGAACATCTCCGTCCACTAGAGTTGGAGCTTTTCTTTCTACGGGAGGCTCTCATCGTCGTCGGACGAGGTACACAGAATTTGGTGTCGCCGTCATAAAACCAGAGTCGCCGAAAGGATTTCGTGTTACGGCAATCGAACGGAAAAGTACAAAGACGGAGATGTTAGAGATTGGAGCAGGGTTAGGGTTTCAAACCCTAAACGGTAAGCCGAGCCGTGTTTCCCCGTTTCCGCCGGCACGCTCCTCGACCGTTGCCTGCCTGCGACTTCTCCCCCGCGGCACACAAGTCCCCATCCGATTTCTTCGTCGAGCAGTGAGACGTTTCTTGGCAGGCCTCTCTTTCTGACGTCTTTGCTTTCTCTTTTCTATGACCTCCTTTTCCTCCGCTTCTATTTCGGCTCCAACAGATGTACTTCTTTTCCCGTCTGATAACTGTATTCCTTGACGGCCAGCTGCTATAACAGCAGTTTCGAGAGCTCTGCAACCTTCCTCTGCACATCCTGCGTCTGAGCTCGTGCAGATTGGGAACGGCGTCTATTTTAACTTGTGATTGCTCCTCCTCTTGTGCCCGCTGCTTGGTTCCCTTGTTTCATCTAACTGCTTGGCTGGCTTAATTGCCCCGAACTTTGAATCATCAGCTACTCATGGATGCAGAGGTGCTGTGGTTATTGGCATTATTCAGACACTAATCTTACTCTTAGAGTGCTTAATCTTAATCTTTGCGTTTCCCAACGCAGAGCTCTTCTTCAATGTCGCACTCTTTCTCCAAATCACATTTCACAAGCTCCACTAGCTATGTTGCATGGTTTGTCTTTGAATCAAGAAAGCCAAATAAATTCTTGAGAGATAAAAGTTTGCCCACACGTACTTCTTAAATAGCTCTGTCGCTTCTTCGTCCTCAAGCATTGTCAACATTTGAGCATTGGCCCGAACTTTGTCATTCGCTTTGATAATATCTGTATGGTAAGATTCTAGGATCCTTGCTTTATATTTTACAAATGGTATCGAAACAAGAGTTGCTGGGTCTAACGCCGTCTTTCACGTCGCTTATTTCCTGCTTGATAATTTTGCTGTCTCTGCTCACAGATTGAGAATGGAGACGAAGATAGGCGTTCAAATATATTTAAGAAAATTTATTTACTGCATTTCTTAGATGACAATCATTCCCTTCAACCGGTAACTAGCACTTTCTTGGTTATTAAATCAGATGCTTTATTGTTCAATTGGGAAGTCTCAAAGAGTCAAAGATCAGGACTTAACATTGACCATATGTACGGAGCTCGAGAACTGATACAATTACACCATCACAAGCGTATTCAAGTTCATAAAGCAACATTACGAGCTAAGTTGACAAAGTTGATTCACTTGAAGGATTAATTTAAAGGTCCAATGAGGCTGATTTCACATGCGGATCCAATCCACCGCTTTCTAGGCTGAAATTAATACAGAATAGTCAGTAGCTGTGGAGGAATTTATCGAACGAAGAGATGACAATGTAATGCGTGTCGAAATTTTTTTGTTAGAAATATACTTTAGTTTGTTTTTGGATTTTGAAACATTGTTTATGTGCTAGGGGGTTGATGAGGAGAGCCGAGAGCAGGTTTGAAGGCAGGGAATTTTTTTCCACATCGTCAGGTTACAATGTTATGTGAATGGGTCAATCTGTTACTCTCTCATTCATTCTCTGATCCTATTTTCGTTCCGTTGACCACTTTACAATAATGAGATCAGATTTTTCAGAGCTTCATATCATTTCTCTTGAATTCTATGGATAGGAATTTATGATGGAATATCGGATTTTGGGTCTATTGGAACCTTGTTAGAAAATTACATGGAGATTGGGATATGGATACTGACCATTGAAGTGTCATGTCATTGGGTTGCCATTTTACAAGCGGAGTAGATACAAGATTTCTAACGATTTTTTATGCTAACCATAGTTTTACTTCCATCTACAAAAGATTTGTAGTACTCTATCTATATTTTCAACATAATGTTTCAGTTTAAATTAGATGTTCATAATTGATTCAAATCAGATACTTATCCATCATAAATTTACCATGAATTATTAACATCTCATCTAAATAAGATTATAGATTTGGTTGAGTACAAACCTAACAGGAAATTCAGTGAAGCTTAGAGCTTTATTTCAATAATCAATCCTAAAAAGCATAATTCTATGACTTCTCTTTTGTACAAGATAATGAAATATCAGTACACACATGATAATCCATGATGACTTGCAATATGAGATACATATCCTTCAAAGTATAGCAATTGAACCATATATGATTTTTCATTGCGACTCTAATACATCATAAAGAAAGATAATACTAAAGGTTTCTCCACTTTTTGCAAAATATTTTTCTCAAGAGTACAGTGACAGGACATCAATGTCGATAGCAAAAATCAATTTAGCATCTATACTTAAAAAAATAGCGTTGTTCTTTCCGTAAGTAACCCATAGGCTACGTATGATCATATGAGCTTTTGCGCTAACAAAATACTGTTAAAAAGCTCTTCTTTTCCATCATGGTGCATGTTTCACAAGATCCAAAAATATATTATTTTGAGCTATAAAGAGCTATACATAAGCTATAAAAATTATCTTCCAGAAAAAGACTGTAAAGCTAATCATTTATTTTAAAAAAATCCTTACAACTCAGACCAATTTTCTTCATATATATACTAAAACATCAATTTTTGCAAAAAATATTATACTAATAATATTTATATATTCGAAATATATTATTATAAAAATAATAACCGAATAAAATAATTCGGTTATTATTTTTATGTTAATTGCATCATAATTCAGTATTTTTTCACTGAGAAATTTATATTTATCTCACAAAAAAGTTGAGTACATTTATTTTTTTATTAAATGTTCATATGAAAACTTGGTTTTTAATGTAAAGGCATAAACAGAGGAATTTTTTTTTACAAAGGTTATCTCAATAAACAATTTTACAAAGATAGGTTTTTGTAAAAAAATAATTTATGATTGCTACATAAATATTTATCATTATGTTTGAATTTTTTGTATGAAATTTTATCCTTTATAACCAAATATTTTGTTAAGTTTTTTTGTGCATCTATATTTGAAACTTTAGGATTTATTGGATTATTTTCAAATCTGAATCAAAATTTATCATCAATATAAATTTACATTCAAGATTTTATTATATTTGACTTTGTTATTTTTATGTTAAAATACAAAGTCGTTGATTGCAATTTATTAATATATGACATATATTTTACAGTATATATAAATAAAAAAATTCATATAAATAAATCAGTCAAACATGAAAATTTTGATTAATTTCTATTTAAATAATGAAATTTTATATCAACTTGATCAACAAATGCAAGATCTATTTCTATGCTTAATCTATAATTTTAATTTGGCTTCAGTATGTTATATAAATTTCTTATTATCTTGAAAACTAAAAAAAAATCAATATATCAACGTTTCTAAGTTATTTAGATATATATATAAAATATTAATTTAAAAAAATTTATTCAAATAAATTATTTTCGTACATCAATTTATTGTGTTAAAAAATCTAACATTGATTGAATTCAAATTAAATTTCACGAACTAAAAGTAGAAGTTTGAAATATAAATCTTTATGTAATTTTGAAATGTTCAAGAAGAATTATTGATCTCTTATATGTCATATTCCACCAGAAGAAATGGATAATATGTGAGTTGGTTAATATTTTGTTGTAAGAATAGGCTTTGAGTGCTGCTTATAATTTGTATATACAATCAATTGATTTCACTACTCTCAACATCACATACCTAGTTCATACCTACAGCTTTCGAGACTGAAGTTGATATGAAGCCTTATTTCTCTCGTAGTTGAAGTTGAGATGCTGATAATATATTTTTCAAATTTAAGTAAAAATGAGATGATCCTTCGAAAGCTGTGCTGGATTCAGTGTTGGGGATGAGAATTATTGGAATTCTTAACATTTTATATATGAAAACACAACTCAAAGAAAGTAAACTTTATTTTGTGATTTAGAGAAGAATTAATGGTGCAAAGTTGGCTGATGAGATATTTCAAAGTTGAAATAGATGTAGTTGCAGACACAAACATATGGGCGAGAGGAAAAAATGAAGGCATCTCAAATGAACGTATAGACTTCTCCAAAACCAAGCACTTAAATACTGTCAAACTAGAAAAATCAAACTATTCAAGAATATGGTTAGATTAAAAGTGATGTTACGTTATACGTTAAAAGGAATTATAAGTTAACTTTATTTTGGTGTTTTTCAGTTTTTTTTTAATTCTATTTAGATTTATAGCGAATTCATCATTTCTCCATTCATACTTATATGAATGGAGAAAAACTTAATACAGGGTTGGTATAAATTAGAGGCATGTGACATAGTCTCTTGTGTAATAATAGTAGGGCCTAGCCCAGGCCTCATAAGGCCTGGGAATTTCCATAACTACCGAAATTGACTCAAAATGTGGATTTTACTCAAAATTTGAGATTATTGCTATCGCAATAATCTCAAGGATTGGATGTTACTCGTTCGTTAACTTTTACCATGATTACTAACAAGGAATTTTGTTTAGGCAGTGAAAATATCATGAATCTCCAAAGTACGATAGGTGCTACTATCGTTATTCGTACCGATCGAAGAGGTTTCTAGTCTTCACGGATTGCATGAATTCCTCGTTCAGTGGAAACCTTGGATCTTATCGCCTTCAATGTTTGTACGGACATTTCACTTGAACTGCACATCACACAAAATTTACTTTGGACCCCACTAGATGTAAAAGTTTTCATCGGGAATGAATTTGGGCCAAAGCACCATGGTTTGGAACTTTCTTCTTTCATATTATTATCGGACTTTATATCTCCTCTGGGTTTGTGACAATATAATAAATACATAGTAAAAGTAACTCAAGATTATCCAATTTTCCATTCAATGATTAGGCCTAAATATATATGTTAAGGTTGTTAAAGTGTTGATTTGCCCCAAAACTTTTCAGAAACATATGCCGCTCAAAACTACAGGAATCCGTGCGGTACGAATAGTACTACAAAACCCACACTCATACATCTCCAGCAATAAATAATGATAATAAGACTAATAAGATTTGGCATTTGCATATGTGGAAAGCTATACAATACTAATTTAATATTTCATCAACTCCATACCCTGCAGTTTTAGGTATAGAGGTCTAAAACCTTCTTCAGTTTCAGAGTGAGAGTTAGCAACTAGTTGTATTTATCTTCAAGGAGACGCAGTGAAAGTAGAACGGGTAGAGATGAGCAAGGCCCCAATAGAATTCGTTTGCTGTTGTGTATGAGAGCGTGGTTTGATGGAAGACAAATCAAGACCACCGTCCCTAATATTTTAATAGTAACTGCAGGTTACATACATACAACCCAGATATCGAGAAAACGGTAGATATGCTAGTATTGTGACAGTGTCTCAATTGAGTTGGGATTCCTCTTTATCCTCTACGCCTGGTTCAACGATTTACTCGTTAAGCTGCGTCCATATGCATTTGACTGAATTATCAGAAAGGTATCTTCTATTTAATCCAGCAAAGAATCCATCTCTGCCATCATTTGATAACAGAGTCATAGACATTTGTACATTGATAACAGAGTCATAGACACACATGTTGCATATACACTGATAACAAGTTCATCCATGCATATCGAAAATGTGGATGGATTTATCCAAAAGCTATAACCATATGTCCTTGCCAGATCCAGGGTGTAGAAAACCCTAGTCGTACAAAAATAGGCTGGATGAACTTAAAATGAATAAAAGATTTTAGAATAATGAAATTAAAAATTAGAGATAAACACATGAATCCATGTTCTGCCTTAGAGCGTCTCTCATATGTAATAGTGATACATGTAACGAAAAAATCACGTATCGTTGTACTTCGTGTAAAATTATGTTTATCTCGTAATCGCCACACCTCGTGTAAAACTGTATAGAGTATCGAAGTAGCCAGAAACACATAAATATTTGAAGATCTACACCTTGACACAAGATTCGAAGAATACAATTTTCCAGTATTATCTTCATTGCAACACATTTGAGGATTTTATGATGTCAGAAAGGATGGGAAAATCTTTGTGGGTCTGCACACGGTACTTGTCAAAGCATCCCATAAAATTCCCAATGTGTAATGAATTCTAGCATAAAATACATACTGGCAGGTGCACCGTCTAGTTGTTTGGGCTGCAAGAAATTCCATTGCTCGAAGGTCAAGAATCTTCTCGTATCCAATTGGGGGATATATTGATGAGGCGTAAATTTTGTCAAATGGCTTAGATTTCTCGCTGGATTCTTGGGCTGATAAAATTTTCGCAGTTTGCCACCAAGATGGAAAAGCTGCAATCTCCAATTTTGTAATTGCATATACCGCAGAAGTCTACGAACCGACGCGTGGGGTCCCAGTAGTTACAACGAAGACCATCAAAAGACCACACTCAAGGTTGAACAAGGGCTAGCCTAACGAACTATAGGTCAACAATATCTCGGTCTGAGAAAACATTCATGAGTCCAAGGGCAGGAGGATTCCATCCACTTGAGCTCAATGTTTGCCCGCTCTGACTTACTTCTTTTACTCCGTTATTAATCATCTCTAAGATTAAGCAGATCGAACGAGCTCCAATTTCAACTCGACGAAGGACTTCAGGAGTATTTGCTTAATTCTCAATGCGCTGACTTTTGGGTCGGTGGAGGTGGAGGTAAATAGCAACTGTTAGAACTGATTCCCTATCTCAACATAGGAGGAGGCTGTTGACATGATTGTTACTCCTGCGCCATCTCCCGGAACCTTCGAATGTTTAAAACTTTGTATTCACAAGCATCAACATGTTTCGCTCTGGAGGAGCAAATCATACCAAACATACTGGCCAATGTTATGGTCAAGGCATGTGTCCCGTGTAGGACAACGAGACGCTTTCGTGAAGTGGCTCCATACAATTGCTTGACAGAGCGTGAAGTTCACGAACTTTTGCAACAACATACACGACAATGTCCTTTGAAACTTTGGCAAGTCCTTGAGCATCGAACGGTTCCATACTGAGGACAGATGCTACAATTAACTCTGAATTAGGAGTCTGTTACATTCATGAGAAAGACATCCCATTTGTTTCTCTTGATAAACTTTATTTCTCCTCTCTCTATCGGACTGCTTTCCGTTTTCCTACTGGAGATTAAAACACTCGATGAAACAAGACTTTTACGCGGAACTCCTTGCAGAGAACATGCAGAGAGCAACAGGAAGAAGGACCGATAAATCACATGGTGTCATAATGAACAAAGAGCTGGCAACAGCTGTGATTAGAATGCTCAGACGGGCACACGTCACTGGTCACGGTCGAGCTGCCTCGTGTAAGGAATGGCGGGGCTACTGGAGCTGGATCAATTAATCATCCGAATTAACATCGACAATCATTCATTCATTCATCCATCCATCCATGGGCAGTGAGTGAGCGAAATAGAGGAGAGAAAGTTGAATAGTATTCCAACAAACGGTTGTTGTATTCAGTATATGTATAATGCCCTGTGATGACCAAGATCTGTGCGAGCAAAGGACTAAATCCTTCCCCACCTGTTTCCGAGTCTCTTCCAGGTCTGAGAATTTCATTAAAATAAGGGCTTACTTGTTCCGTGCCCCTTGCTCCTATGGTATAATGGGCCCCACGGCCTTAACTCCGCCTTGGGCCCTGCTCCTACTCTAGTCTACTGCAGTCCTTCCGTTCAAAGGCGAAAGGTCATGTATGTCACAATATCTTGCGCAAACCACGGCCAGAAACCACGGCGAACGACGACATCGTGTGTCAGCGTACCTATTAGTTCTGTCACTACCATATTTTACACCTTCCCTCGGATCGACGATAAACACCGATCGCAACGACATACCGCTCACGAATTCTTCCGACCTTTCCGCACCGTACTATGTGCTCAATAACTGCAATTATGTTTACTAATTCGCTTCCTCGCGGGAAACCGTATGCACATTTTGGTCTTCTTCTTCTCTTCTTCTCTTCTTCTCGTGTGGGAGATTTCAGGTCGAGAAGTTCGGAGCCTTTGATCCCTTCGAGGATGATTTGAGGCTCGAATTCTTCGAGTAAGAGAACTGAAAACGTCCTTCCGAGACCACCAGTCGCTTTGGATCGAAATTCCCCACCATCACCACCCCCACCAACACGCGAAATCCTCGAAAATTCTGATGCACAGCCATTCCTGCCCAAATCAAGGCCCCCGACAAGCCTATGTACCGAGGCCGCCACACGGATTTCCCAATCGTCGGAAGCGTGGGTTGCACCATGAACACCGCTACCATCACAAGAGCCCCATGCCGAAGACCACCATGCAAACCAGTAACAAGACGGTGGAAATCAATGCCGTCGCGAAACATAATGACATCAAGCGGCGGAAGTTGCCCATGTTCGCCCTGTACTCCGACCAGAAGAAGTAGTAATCCTTGGCGAGCGGCATCACGACTATGGGCGCCACGAACATCGATCCGAGAAGGGACGTCGTCAGCGTGGTGGACTGAGTGAGAGGAATGTACTCGTGCTTCCCCCAGAGAGAAATCACTTTCGACCATCCGCTCTCAGCCACGGGAATGTTCGCGAGCCCGCTGGAGACGAAGGCGACGACCGCAACCGCAGTTGCGAGCGTGAGCGCGATGGACGCCACTCGGATCGAGCGTTCGAGGTCTCGGACTTCGCGCTCGATGAACGACCGATCTCTCCTCGAGATCATTACGCGGATGGAGGCGATTATCGAGATTATGCTCATGAAGAACGAGATGGCATTGGAGCACCTGAAAATGTCGATCGCTCGAATGTACCAGTACTTCCTGCTGCCGAGATTAGAGTTCGGGTCAAAAATGGTCGATTGGGGCTCGAGAAAGTCCTCCGGTGGTGGCAATTTGGGCATCTGCAGAAACCCTCCGTACGTAACGCTGACCAAGAGAGTGGCTCCCACGAGAAGCGACGTAGCCACATTCTGCAGGAAGTCGCGCTCACGGTAGTAGTCATCGCGACGGTCATTCACCGACTTCTGCTTCAAGAACATCTGCTTCATGAGCTCGGCGCAGTCGTGCAGCTCCTCGTCGAGCGTGTTTCGGCTGGCCACCTCCCAGAGGCGCTCGTATGGCGTTTTCCCTTCCTTGTTCTTCTTGTTCATCAACAACTTCTTCTGCTTCCCTTTGGAGCAAAGCAAGTCGACGACGTCCAAGTTCTTGGTCTCGATGCCTCTCGTGATGGCGATGTGGAGCGGAGTGTCCCCCTGGCGATTGCGCGAATTCAGGTCCAATTCCGGCATGAAGGCCTCATCCAGCAGCTCTCGGACTACTCCCACATGGCCATTCGCGCAAGAGCTGTGCAGAGCCGTGTCTTGATGATCCGGAAGATCCCTCGAGTTGATGAACTCTTTGAAACTCTTGTGCACTTTCCTGCAATGCTTCAGCAGCAGCTTGACGACCCCCGCGTGGCCGACCTGCGCGGCATGGTGGAATGCAGCCAGATAGGTCGGAGAATGCACGTCCGCCAAATCGCGGTCGGTCAGCAGCCTCACGACTCTCTCTTCGCCGTCTTCTGCAGCCCAGCGGATTACGTCCGTGAACTCGGCGAGGTTCAGCTGCAGAAGCGATTTTAGAGGATCCTCTTCTTGCGTGCCCAAGAGCTCGGCCAACAAATCTCCGACGATTCCCCACTGCCTCGTCCGCGCGGACGACTTCAGGTACTCAATTTGATCATGAGGCGGCCAATAGTTCACTGCCGGTTTGTAGCTCAATTTTCTCGAGAGCGCTCTCGCGCCATTGAGCAGGTGCTGCTTCTCTTCATCCGGGTAAATGTCCACGAAAGAGCTCGTTTTCTGATACATTCGATCAGCCGTCGTCAGCTCCAGACTCGATCTTCTCTTTTTACTCATGATCAAGAGAAGCTGCAATCCCGGCAATGCGGAGCTCGTCAGCCGACCACGAACGACGACCTGTGAGCCTCTCTCTCTTCCTTACTCCATCTGACCTTTGCTGCGTGCGCCTATCGAGTGAAGGAACATGAACTGCGACTTTGTCCGGGGACACTCATCCGTGCATCGGCCTAGAAGCTGAAATCAATTGCGCTGCATGGAGTCTCGCAAGTCCCAGCGTTCTGTCTGCAACCGAGTGCAAGGAAACCAGATGAAACCCGTCAAACTTCTGTTAACGAAGAGAGAAGGATTTCTTTCATTGTCTTGAGTGATTGTCAATCCCCATTGCTCTAAGGATCACAGTATACATCTCACAAGCACACCTATCTCCAACAAGGACTGACTGTCATCGCATGTGTGCTAGCTTCTACGATTCACTGCGTCGGATGCGCGAGAAACACACTAACCTGTCCAGGGATGGCATAAGGTGGAAGTTGATGTCCTTGTTCCATATTCAGTTGATCTACCGATCTGCTAAAGAGCCGGCCGCAATGAAGTGAAATCGAGCCCAGAAACTGCTGTCCCTCACTCATTCAGGAACTTCGCTGATCTGTGCAAACGATTACCGACGGACTCAGAAAATTGGAAGCTGGAAACTGCCTATAAGAGCTCGGCGAGACTGCTCCACTGCTCCCTCCCAAACGTACATCTGCACTGTGGAGCAAGCGCGTGGTTTATAAGCTCCGGGCCCGAAGTGAAAACGCTGCAATGAGGTCAGATGATGCATATTCCGAAACATTCTTATGCACAAAAAACTTGTGCCGTGCCAGGCTTGGCCTCGCCGGGAGTACTAGTCGTACTCGCAGTAGCCCCCTAGATCCTGCCACCGAGAGGGACAGGAGAGGACATCACTCTCGCTCTGACATGACTCAGCCGTGCCAAGGTGTGCATACAGTCGACCCAGCCGCATACTTATCGCTAGCCTGACCGGACCCAAGAGATTCTCACCATCCTTTTCCTTGTAGAGATCCTCTCGTCGCGCGGGCATCGGTGGCCACTAATCGGACTCCTCCTACTGCTCGTGCTCGATACAAGAGATTCAGGTCCTGTGGATTTCGTTCCCGCCATGGCATGTTCACACACTCGAGGCCGATCAGGGCTTCACCAGCTCACTTCATATTTGGCGCATGCGCGAGGCACACTCTCCCCCGACTTCCCTTTCTATATGCAGCATGCATAAAAGGACAGTGGAAGGGGTCCAAGTGGATGGCTGCAACCATGATAGGATTCTAACCTTGGCTCTTCCCCTTTATTGATTAAATCCGAAAACGATCCAGTTGACCACTCGCCAAAGGATACCGAACCTCAAGCAGAAATTTCAACTCACTCGACGTATGTACAATTCCTCACTAGGTGATTTATATTAATATAAGTGACAACTTATACATCAAGAAAACAGCATTGACATTTGCGAGCAAAACCTTCACACGTTAAAAAAAATGGCAAAGAATCTTCGCATTCACCTCTAAACTTTTATCGGTATCGAAATCCACCCGAACTCTCTGATCATCTTGTCGCCTCCTTGCTGAAGCTGAGGGGTGGATAATCTATGAGCATCGCTTGCCTGCACCTATTCCACCCCACCATGTTTTCATCCACATGCTGTGCTCTATTCGATGCAACCGACCACATCTTAGATTCATGGTGGCCCAGTCCCATGTTCACCACCGTTTGGCTTCATCCATGTAACGCTGGATGGGATCGTCACGTCCTTCTCACTATAGTACATGCTCTTCCATCTTGATTCTCATGGATGGATAGTTGGAGACTTAACAATTAATTAAGTCTCACGCAACCGGATATGAATCTTCATTTAAAAATTCTGCACTGCTTCTTTTCAACTGAGTATGACTTTAGACGATATTATGTGAGCATTCACAAGCAAGCAACCCTTGAGGTTGCACACATGATCTTAAACCACCCTAGTTTGTTGATCTCAATCCTAATACCATATTCATCAACAACTACCAGTGCTACTTCGTAATGGATTTCTAGGTTCACAAGGTGAGGCTAGAAACGAGATGCCTTCTTAGGTGTGAGACCTAGCCTGTGGTCCTGCTAAGTTTTTCCTCATTATGAAATAGTAGGTATGGAGAGGTCCGTCATCCTCATATGTATGCATCACCCTTCTGCCCAGATTTGATACACACAGTAGATAAGGATTTATTACTAATCGGATATTCCTTATCACTTACAAGGTATAATAACCTCTGATTTTGTATACATCATGAACTACATGTATCCATGAGCACGTCACTTCATACAAAATATGATATAATATGTGTAATATGTATAATATAAAATAAATGTATCACTTTCTTATACATCCTGATTTGAATTTTAAAAGCATGAGATATAAAAGAAAATCAACTGTTGGGGACCTGAAAGAAAGTGGTATAACCAACCCAAAAATATCATTACATCTCAGATATTCAGATCCACAATATTTTATGACTTGCTTATGTACACAGATTTCATCATAGAAATCACAAATTTTGTCTTTAACCTTGTTTTAGATAGATCACATGCTTCTCCACATGTGTACAAATATTTTATTTCATGTTTTAGTACAAAAAATGATTTGATAGATTTTCTTAGAAAAATCAATTTTTTTAAAAAAATAGGTGCCAAAATATTATGAGAGTTATATCATTGACATCTCATTACTTATCTATGAGGTTTGAGTTGCAATATTCAGTGCCATGTCTAAATCCTTTGTTAGTGCGATTTCTGGTGCACATTAAACCATTATATATAAGAATCATGATACTTCTTTTTAATTTGAAACACTCCTTGATTTTCAGAGTGTCAAATATTTTATTCTATAAAATAATAACTGAAATTTAAAATATGTGATATACGGCTATTGAGAATTTACGAAGGAAAAAATAATGTTGAATTGATAGTTCAATAGATTTCATTCATGAAATGAACAATATCATGAATGAAATTTTTTGAAATTCTTATGGAAGTCATGTATAATTTACACAAAACTTGAAAGAAAAATTAATAAAGTACATTCACATAATCTACATCGATAATTATAAATATGGAATCTAATATGCAAATTTCATAAAAGAATATTAAATAAAATTATACTCAATGTATAATAAATTATTTCAATTGAATTTTTACCAAAATAAGTCTAAACATATATATGATTAATTTTTGTATTATAAATGTCAAATATGCATTGATATATAGATCTTTCACAATAAAATCAAATGCATTGTACATTTGATAAATTTTATGATAATTTTATCAAGATTTAATCAAATGTAGAAAACTTCTCAAAATTATATACATTAATAAGTATTGATATCATCACATGAGCTTATATTTTTTATTAATGCATGATCATATGAAGTTATGTGACTTGACATACGGTAGCGGTGACGGTGTAGTGCCAACTTTCCAACTTTGCAGGGGTGACTCTTTCCAACTTCAGAATTCCTAGTAACAACTTAGCAGTTTATGTCAAAATTCTCGAGACATTGTCAGTCATTCTAGTCAATACCAATTGTACTTACTGTTCTAGTTATCAATATTACTACCAATTTTCACACCTCAAGTGCTATTCCATAGTCTTGTGTGAGAAAAACTTCTCACTTCTGGTCTATTTTGGCATTTTTTTAAGTCATTCTTTCAAACTTATCTTTTATTTCATCATTGTACATAACCATTTAATTGTTGTACCAGTTTACCAAGTACAAGTACATGTAAAACATAGTACATGCAGATGCTGAAGGCTTAAGGCAAAGACAGACTCTGCAAACTATACATCCTTAAAATTGAAGTTTTAGATTCAAATTTACAAATTCTGATCACTTTTTTATGATTCATATTGTAATGTAATACGTAATTTATTTATTTTATATCTAATATAAACATGGTAAAAAATGTGTAATAATTGATATCAATAACACTATATATTTATTAATTCTTCGGTAAGTTTGTGGATGAAGATCATTGGGAGTGCCACACACACGTTGATAATATTTTACCTATAATTTCAAGTAGCTGCTCCTAAGAAATGAATGATGAGATCAAGAAAGCATTTCCTAGTGAGTCTAAGATGATAGCATTGGAAGATGTATAGAAAGGACTGGTGACACCAATCAAGCACTAGTCAGAGAGGCTAAGATAAATAATTTGAAAGCCGTAAAGGGCTTTGGGTTGACACTCTATCTTGGTTGTACTTGTAAGAGACAATACAAAACAAATAAAAGCCGCAAAGGGCTTCGGGTGGACACTCTACTTTGGTCGTACTTTGTAAGATACCATACAAAATTGTTCTTCCCCGTAGGTTTCACAGATATTAAAGGGAGAGGCTAGGCTAATTAGCGCTCACTCTTTTCGAATTGGTCGAACATCTAATTTAGCAATTACTTCTTAACACTATAACCCTGCATTTAGGGCTAATTAGCCCTAAGTGGATGATAGCTAGCCGTTCCATATTTAATTATTGTATCACAAAGTAAAGAGATGCAATTTTACTGAATACAATGTTCTAATGTGACTTTTCTATCATCGACAAAACAATGGTTACATAAGCGAGCGGATGTTTGATCCAAACCCCTTGCAGTTTTAGTTTTGAGCAGATTACAGATTGAATAATATAGAAAAAGTGTTCTAGTATCATTGGCATCTTGCAAAATGCTATAACCATAGTTTATAAACCTGGTAGATATTTTATACTTAAAAGTTGTGAAATTTTAAACGCTAATATTGCAGATTTTTCCTTTTTTCCAATAATTAATAGGAAATCTTTTCATTAACTCATTCCTCGATAGTTAAGAATGAAAGATTACTTTACAATTTAATTTACATTCTGGAAATTCCACAAGGTGTTGTTAATATCCTTCTCTATGCCTTGATATGTACAATTCTCATCTTTCTCCACGTTTTTTTAAAGAGATTTTTTAACTCCTATCAATATTTGTCAAATATCATGTGCATTGCTTTGGGTAGGGTATGAGTTTTGGACTCTAATACTGCACATTCAGCATGGCCATGCGGTTGAAATTTAGTTCAGCACGATATAATCATCGGTTTTCTTTCACTTAAGCAATCAATAAATAATTTGTCTTTAGATGATTTTTCAACATATATTCTAGTATTGTAGAATATATAATTTTTTAAGCATAACATTATTTATATTACGTGCTTACCATGCATCCCAAAACCGTCGGCTAATATGAATGGACTGAGTTTTCTTATGCCATGAGGCTAGAATTTTTTTTCGTCTCATAGTGAATTGAGCAGATAAATTTTTTTCTTTAAAGTCAGAAAAATCATAAATTTATATTTGAAGTGGTCATCCCTGCCACACTTTCAGTCTTCATTTAATACTCAAACATTATTCTCACCATTTAGTCATGCAACACTATCTCAAAACTTTGCAATGATGTTAATAAAATGCTAAATATACGTAAATATAATAAGTAATGTTCTTCTAAATATTTAAAATATCGATTATTGATGTCAAGGGAAATAGAGTGAAGCTCATAGCAAGGAAGGAATATTTGACCATAAACCGAATAATGGATAGGGTGCATAACCCAATGATTTTCCATTTTTTTTCACTTGGTGCAGAATCAACGTCGCCTTTCGGAGATGGGTCTTCCCATCGTTTTTGCCACGAACTGAGCCTCCTTCGACTTTCGGAGCTTATATGAAAGATGTTTGACGATTCATATGAAAGGAAGAAAAGGATGCGCATGAAGTACTAAACGTGTCGAGAAACAATCCTGCACGTTACAAAGCAAAGGCAAGAGGAATCCAAACAAGAGGACCACTTTCGGAGATTAAGCAGCAGATCATGACGTTTCAGTAGAAAGCGGGGAAAAGGAGGTTCATGATCTACCTAACATGTTGCAAACCCATTCAG